ACAAGGAAGGAGAAAGCTCAAACATCCAGGTGAAGGACAACAGAACCAAGATGACGTGGGCAACCACGATCCCGAGTAAAGGCGTCGACATATTCACAGCCAACTTCATGTTGGCGTGTTTGAATGAAACAGGATACAGGAAATTGATCCTGAAAAGCGACAATGAGCCAGCGATCATTGCGCTGAAGAATGAGGTCAAGGCACAGGCAAAGGGGATAGAGATCATCCTCCAAGAAGCTCCTACGGGAGATCATTCGGCCAACGGATCGGTCGAAGTTGCCGTCCGGGATGAAAAGAGGCAAGCCAGAGCTCTTTCGAGCGAGCTGGAAGAAAATCTCGGGAAAATGGACGGTAAACATCCGATGTTAACCTGGTTGAGCAGGCATGCGGCATTTTGCCTTGGAAGATTCTCCATCAAGACAATGGCAAGACTCCCTATCAAATGATGATTGGACGAAAATGGAATCGACCTATGGTGAGCTTCGGAGAGCGGATTTGGTTCCGCCCTCTGGATGCGTGCAAAGTTGACGGTGAAAGACAACCCGAAAGAAGAGCAGGAGACCTTGGAAGAAGGGTCATGAGTGGACACTAGGTGGGAACACATGGTAGAAATGGAGATATCTTGGTAATGACAACGCAAGGCGTCATCAAAGGAAATACTGTCCATCGGAAACCTGAATCTGAACGATGGGATCGGTCAGAGCTGGCAGAATTGAAAGGCGTCCCTGGGCGCTTCGCCCGAGGAGTGCTGAAGATTTGGAGCATCGGCTCCACATCAATTACCAGAGACAACACAGAGGTTGACTCCCACTACGAGAGATGGAGGGCCAAGACAGCTCTATGTGAGAAAGAAGAACCTGGAGAAGGAAGATGGAACGATGGACTATACACCAGGGCGCAGAGGATGCGAGGCACTCATGGTTGGACTGCCTGCAGTTGCACACAACTCGACTTGTCGAGGAAGGTTGGAACAAAGGTTGGCCGAAACAGAGGAAGGAAGGAAGAGACTGGCTGATGTCGAAAAGAGGCTGGAAGAAGGAAAGGAGAAGAAAGCAAAGCAAGCAGTCAAAGGACCGCCGGATCCCACAGAAGGAGAAGTAAGGTCGTCAGTGGCCTTAGGGCAGCCTGAAGCCGAAGAAGGAGAGACTTCATCGAAGAGAAGTTCGGAAGGTACTGAGGGTGAAAGGACCGGAAAGAGAACGAAGGCCAAGGCTAGAGAAAAGAGACCAGGAACATCCCTGGACGATTTGTATTATGATGAGATCGGCGATGTTGGACCCCGGATTGTTTCAACTGGGGAACCGACAGGAACTCAAGCGGAACCTCCGGCTGCTTCAGCAGGAGGGGCTGCATCAAGTTCGTCAGCTGGTCCAGCAGCGGGTCCAAACCCACCAGACATTACTACCGGAGAACGCGATGGAACACCACCGGGTTACATTCAAGGAACAAACATCCAGTCGCTATGTCAGTTGACATGTGAGTCATCGGAAGATGAGTTGACAAAACAAGAGCTTTTAGCATTGGGAGCACATGAAGTCACCGAAGTGCCACTGGGAGTAACAGCAACGTACAAGAAGTATGAGCTACTGCCAGGATACGCGATCGATTTGGAAATAAGTTGGGATTTGACATCGTCAGACGGCGTGAAGTCGATCCGAACAACTCTGCAAGAGGAAGATCCGTATCTAGTTACGGGAAGCCCACCTTGCGAAGCGTTTTCACCGTTACGAGCACTGGATGAGAGAAGAGTTGATCGCGAAACAAAAGCCTTAAGGTTAGAAGTAGGAAAAGACATACTCAAGACTATATGCGAATCCTACAAACAGCAGATGAAAAGAGGAAGGTACTTCCTACACGAACAGAAGAATGCCAAGAGTTGGGGCGAAAAGTGCGTCAAAGAGATTGCAGAAAGAGACGACGTTTTCGTTGTTGAAGGCCCCATGTGCGGATGGGGAATGAAAGCAAGCGGAAAGTCCTACGTCAGGGAAATGACGAAGTGGATGACAAACAGTGAGGAATTGGCCATCGCATTGCGAGGAATTTGCGACAGCCAAAAGCCTGGGAAACCATGGCACAGACACGTTCACTTAGTGAACGGCAGAGCCAAAATGATTCGGACCTATCCACCAGGATTAATCCGGGCGATTCTCAAGGCGTTGAAGAAACAGATGCAAAGAGATGGTGAATACCGTGATGTACATTCACTTGAAGCAGGACCAAGTCCAGAAGAAGACCCACATCTCGAAGACTACGAGGATTACCTTGTACCACCCAGTTTGGAAAAGAGCGCAGGACAAGAAGTCAGCGAAGACATGGTGTTCTACGACGACATCACAGGAGCACTACTCGACACCCACGGAGTCTTAGATACGAGAAAGGATGAATTGGCTTGGGTAAAGAAACAAGATGCCTACGAGAAAAGAACACTTGAAGAATGTTGGAGAATTACGGGTAAAGCTCCGATTACACTCAAATGGATAGATCGCAACAAGGGCGACCACGTGAAGAAGAACTACAGATCCCGACTTGTTGTCAGGGAAGTAAAGAAGCAACATGGATCACTACCAGGACATATGTTGTTCAGCAACATGCCACCACTTGAAGCGGTAAAGATCCTATGCTCGGAACTGGCAACAGAAGTAGAACTAGCACTGTACGACATCTCACGAGCCCATTTCTACGGAAAAGCTCAGAGAGACATCTACGTCACGCTACCTCAAGGAGATGAAGAAGAAGGAATGTGCGCCATTCTCAAGAAGACAATGTATGGTACCCAAGACGCCAGCCATGTGTGGCAGGCTGATTACTCGGAACGTCTTGGGAAACACAAGTTTCAATGCGGAAAAGCATGGACGTCAGTGTTCAGACACGAAGAACTCAATATTAATATCAAACTGCTGGTACATGGAGATGATTTCTTGGTACTGGCAGACAAGAAAGGACAGGAATTCATGCAGAAGGTACTCAGCGAAAGATACGAGTTCAGGTGTGATGGAAGAATTGGAAGACACGCAGGAGACCAATTGACCGTACTGAACCGGTTGATCAGCTATGACAGAACAAGTGGACAAGTCAGCTATGAAGCTGAGCACGACATGCTGAAATCATTATCAGACAGCTGAGCCTACAGAATGCAAAGAGTGTATCTACACCAGCGGAAAAGAAGAAAGCGAGAGATGTGCTGGCATCGGCGTGACTCCCGACGGTGACGGCAGAACGCACTACGCTGTTCCGCAGTTTGGTGATGAGAGCCCAATTTCTGGCACAAGACCGTGCCGACTTATCAGAAGCAGTGAAAAGTTTGACAAGGAAAATGAAAGGTCCTAACGAATCAGACTTTAAAGATCTCAAAAGACTTGGACGCTATCTTGTTGGAAGACCAAGAGTGGTCAACGTCTACGAGAGGCAACGGAAGCAGAAAGTGATCAAGGTCCAAACGGATTCAGATCAAGCAGGATGTTTGCTTACTCGACGATCCACAACTGGTTACGCCGTGCTCATCGGAAGACACTGTGTAAAACATGGAAGCAACCTACAGTCTACAATCGCACTGTCATCAGGAGAGTCAGAGCACTACGCCCTGGTCAAGTCGACTGCGCTTGGGATGAGTATCCAAGCACTCATGGAAGATTGGGGTGTGAAGTACGATCTTCAGGTGTACAGTGACAGCAGTGCAGCACGTGGCACTGCAAGTAGAAGAGGACTAGGAACTCCGACACGTTCAGACGAGGTATCTTTGGATCCAGGAACGTGTGGCCGAAGGAACCGTTAAGATCCTAGCTATCGGAACGAAAAACAACACGGCAGATTTGCTCACCAAGCCTGTGAGCAGGGAGACGTGTGAACGACACATGAAGACCTTGTGTCAAGAGTTTCGTGAAGGATCTGCGAAAGGTGCAAAGGCACTAGAATCAACGTAAGTGTAGCAGTGTAGCAAAGCTAACACTTGCATTGAAGGAGGGGTGTTGAAAATTCAGCCCCTGCATAGTTGCCAACACCATCCAATGGGATGTGTACTTTTGGCTCAGGATCATGCAGCAAAAGGCTCTGTGTTTGTAGCTCATAATTTGTGAACGTTTATGGTCTATTGTATTGTTGTTTGTTGTTTTGTTCTTTATGTTGTTCTTTGCTAGGTCTGGTTTTTTGTTTGTTGGGGTGTTGTGGATTGCTGCTCTGCTGTTATGTAATCTTTTTGTTGTAGTTGATTGCTTTGTTTCTGTTGTTGGTTGTGTGCGAGTGCTGGTATTGCTTTGTTTTTGTTCTTGTTGTTGTCTGTGTTGTTTTCTTTTGTCATTGCTGGGGCGTGGGGGAGAGAGGTTGCTTTGTTTTTGTTCTTGGTGTTGTCTGTGTTGTTTTCTTTTGTCATTGCTGGGGCGTGGGGGAGAGAGGTTGCTTTGTTTTTGTTCTTGTTGTTGTCTGTGTTGTTTTCTTTTGTCATTGCTGGGGCGTGGGGGAGAGAGGTTGCTTTGTTTTTGTTCTTGGTGTTGTCTGTGTTGTTTTCTTTTGTCATTGCTGGGGCGTGGGGGAGAGAGGTTGCTTTGTTTTTGTTCTTGTTGTTGTCTGTGTTGTTTTCTTTTGTCATTGCTGGGGCGTGGGGGAGGGAGGTTGCTTTGTTTTTGTTCTTGGTGTTGTCTGTGTTGTTTTCTTTTGCCATTGCTGGGGCGTGGGGGAGGGAGGTTGCTTTGTTTTTGTTCTTGTTGTTGTCTGTGTTGTTTTCTTTTGCCATTGCTGGGGCGTGGGCGGGGTGCTGTGCCATGATGTGTGCTGGGGGCGTGGGCGGGACAAAAGATAGGATTACTAATCTCTAACTGTAATTGCGCAAAATCACACACATGTTGGTTGATCCAGCAACAGATCCATAAATGTGATCTTTTTGCATGTTGCATTCTGTTGTTCAAGTTCAATCATATCAATAGCATCAACTGCTAAAGAATCACATTTTATTGTTGGCAAACATGCATGTAATACCCCACATAACCCCATACTCCCAAAAATCAAATATGGCAACTTGGACACACCAGGTGTCAGTTTCACCTTTTGATCTACCACAATTCCCAGAAATAATTCCTTTCCCAGCACTAGAACAATTCTTGGAAGGATTTGTATTCCTCAATCAAAAGGAACTCAATTTTCTGCAGGATTGGAGCCTGAAATTGACCGAACCAAATTCGGCAACTCACGCGCTGGTCAGAACAAACTGGTTGCTTGTCGCCTTGTCGAATATCGCTGTCGCCATGGGCCTCTTAAGATCAGAGCCGATGAAACATGGCACGTTGGTGGTGCCAGTGGACCGTGCACGAGAGTTCATCGATCTTATAGGCGCTGAAGTGTGATGTAGGAAGAACTCATGCGACTTGCGTAGACAGAAAATGCATGTCTTTTATTTAAAGTGTTTATTAGCCATTCGAGGACTTCTTGTGGCAGTTTCGAAGCCCTGGTCTCAGGCAAAAACACCAAGATGCAATTTGAGGACATGAATGCGCGGGATATGCATCGTCCATACAAAAAGTTGCTTGCTTGATTCTGCGTGTATGTGTTGCCCTTTGAATGCTGTGGTACTTTAATCTCAGCTCTAGCCCTGAAAGAAAATGTGTGTTTGCAGGCCCGCAGCAAATTTGCGATTGCGGCTGTTAGAAGAAAACTCACACATTCAATGTGGCCGCTTCAACCATTTGTTGACATACATGATGTTTTAATGGCGAGTAATACAGTAGGAGCCGTGGTTAGGCCGGTTAGGCTCTGCAGCGAAGCTGCTTGGAATCAGCTGAGGTACATCCAGAGGATTGATGAAATGGAACGCATCATCCGATTCCTCCTGGAAGAGTTGACGAAGGCACGGATCTCCATCTGCAGGTTGCAGAGGTTCATCGCGATACATTTTAAAATTGAAAGTGATTTATATGGATTTATGTCGATTCATGTACAAAGAGTCTACAAGTACAGATTTGTTGAACATTTTTCAGGTTTGGGAGAGCCCATTTTATTTCTATCATCAAAACTGTCTCAGACAATTATCCCTGAATACATGTCCATCATTTGTCGAAGATGTTACATGCCAAAGTGACTCAATGTCTTACCCACTGTGCCGGGGGCTTCATCTGGCAGCTGTTTTGGAGGCTGCGGTTTCGTCTATTTCTTTCTCTGAGCACACACTGGAGATTGGGTATTGTGTGGAGGTACTGTTGATAGACCCTGTCCTCGCCTTGAAGATTCAAAAGTTATTGCATCTTTAATGAGCAAAATTCCGCATGCTGGGTTTGTGGTTTAGCCCAGTTGCCATAGATCACAGGAATTTTCTTGACATATAAGCGCAGCCAGCAGCATTGCAATAGAAGGATCAAAGGATTCATTGACATATTCGCAGGTACATCCATGGCCACTGGATGCTTCCCTCTCTGATGCATAGCTTCTTTGGACAGAGCAGCATCAGAGAGCTCTGCCCCCCTGCATATCACGAGTTAACAGTTGACTTGTTACTGCCTGTTTGTTAAAACAGGATACACACACACACACATACGAAAATAGCATTTGAAACCCAGCTCGACGCAGACCTGCGTAGCTACAGATTATTAAAATTTGACGAAAACTTGCCCCCCCCACACACACATTTGCACATTCACACGCTGACACAATAAGATATTGGGTCACACAGATACCAGCAAATATTTTTATTGAGATCTTGCAAAGAGCCCATTATCATTGTACGGTGTTCATTGGTCATGCAGTCATGTGGTGTGTTTATTCTTGATAGTTAGCCGAGACCTCAATATATTTCCTTTGAGTTCGTTTTTTTTATATAGCAAACTGCTTTTGGTTTTGTGGTCTCTATTAGCACTTCTTAGCACTTCGGTTATCGTGAATTCTGCGAGTTCCCGTTTCCAGTTAGTAAGGTTGTATTCCTATTCTTGTGTATACCAAACCAATAGAATCCAATAGATGCAAGACCTTGGGATATCCAATGAACTCCCAACAGATTGAGGCCTCCGTGCCACAGAATGTGACACGGAGGTGACGGGTGTTTCAAACCACATGTTAGGTGCCTGGCGCTTCCCCTGTCAAGCACAATGTGGATGCTTTCTTGGATCACAGTGACGACTACAAGCTGGATGACGTAGAGGCCAATTTGCACAAGATCCACAAGGAGTTCATCCAGTTCAAGGAGCGAGTGGAATTCCTGGCGGACATTTTCATAACAGGTTTGGATGCTACCAATGATTCCAGTCTTTGTTTCCTTTGTTTTCTATGTTCCTGTGGGAAGAAACGCTGCGTTTTGCTTAATCACTCCTCAAGTCCAAAGCTACTTGCGACTTGTGTCGAAGGAAGTACCAAAGACGCATAATAGTATGATATATGCAGAGTGATTCTGGACCGAGCAGGAAAACAATGGCAAACTTTTGGAGCGTCGAAATGCTGCGCTGGAAGAGCGCTACGTCGTGCAGACTGCCATGGCCTCCATGGCACATGTGGCATCTTCCAGGTCAGTGCGAGCGCCTGAGGACGTTGCCTAGACGGCAGAAAAGGGGCAGCCATCGTATATTTGTTGTGATTAAATGTGATTAAACTTATTCTGCACAAAATAAAATAAGGACACGGGATTCTAGTATATATTGCTTTCATGCCGTAGATGTGGAACAAGCAGCCCAAACTGTTGCAAAAGCGGTGCGCTGCAGACATATCGTGAGACATGATTACAAACAAAAATAAAACGGCAGTCTGCAGACCTGGCAAGGGCTCTCAGCAGCTGCGACTGGAACTCCAAATGCTCTTTTTTGCGGTGCTCCATTGATATTTCAAACAGTCAATAGAGAACGAACTAGATAGCATTTTGAAATGTCCATTGACAATTGGAATCATTTTGATAAGTATCACCACCACGTACACTATCATCAGAATCACAATCATCATCATGCGCGCAAAGATAGGAATTTGGGATCGTTGAATGGTTTTACCATTTTTTACCAAAGGTATCCAAAGGTCACATTGACAGCATTTGACAGCCCTCAATGCGAGTCGTGTCAGGACCGTTTCGAGTTCGAAGCTTCCAGGTCTTTGCTGGACGAGGAGGGAGGCACCTCCAGAAGAGACTTGGCACGGCCAGGATTCACGGCCCTTTTATGGCACTCGCAGCTGCTGATTTGATTTGTTTTGATTTAGGATCTACATATTCTACATCTATTCTGATGTGATATTGAATCCAGTTGCTCCTTTGCACTTGCAGGAAGTCTTGAGACAATGTTCAGCAACATTGCTGGAGTTATCCACCAGGAGGAGCAGGATCGATTTGCTCGAATGCTCTTCAGAGCGACCCGAGGCACATTCTTTCACCGCTGTTGTTTCAACATCGATTCTTGATGTTCTCCAGTTTCTGCCTTCATCATCCTTCGTTTGCATCGCTTGATGATCACATTTGGGGGCTTCGAGAGACTGAAATGAAAGGGTGCGGGTCAAATTGACAACGGTGCATGGCGATGTGCATGGCCCATGACCTGAGTAGCTCTGCAGGCAACACCTTCACCCATTTTCAGCAGATCTTCGAGCCGATGAGGGACCCAAAGACTGGTCGAGAAGTGCACAAATCGGTTTTCGTGTCTGCGCTGCGATGATCAAGACTCAGCAAGACTTGTTGCGATCCTGGTAGGTTTACCATGGTAGTTCTCACAATGTTTCGTTTTGGAACTGTTCCAGCTGATAGTGAAGTCTGACATCCGCTTGCCACAAGTTGAATCAGAGTCTATGTCTTCACACCTTGTAGTTAGGTTCCAGAAGTTTGAAACAGCAAAACCTTAAATCGTGCACATTGCAACTTTTCATAGAAACATATTTCATATCTCAGTCTTCATAGAGTCGATTGACGTCACCTTGTTTGCAGAATTGGAACGTGTTTCAGACCTGGTCGTCATACACAAGGTGATCTACTTCCAAGATCATCGCATAGGATCTTCCGTGTCTGCTATGAGCGAGAAGATCAACAAGAGTCTCAGTTGCACCAGCCAAGTCACACTTGAAACTTTTCTCTGAAATGGGGACCTAGTTGAGCTCAAGTTGATCTCAAGTTGAGATCATTCGGCCTGCAGGATTTGCAACTCTTTTGGTGTCAATACTTATCGGTGGCCGAGCAGCCGCACAGCAGCGCAAGAGATGAACGACAGCTTGAAAGTTCCTTCCTATGCGCTTTTGTTTTTCTTTAATGGGTGGGCATTCTATGCAAATTGACATGATGAAAGATTCGACATCAATGCGAGTCTGTGAGCTGTAGCCAAGATGATTCCCATGAGTTTATTCAAAAGAAGACAAAGTACCCATTGAAACGATCAAAAGAAGTACCAGTACCATTAAGACGATACAGAACGGGAACAACAAAATTAAGCGGCTTAGGATGGTATTCTATCCTATTGAAGTCTTGAATTGTAATCTGTGCAGCATTTGGAGGAATGTAGCTTTGTAGCATACGATAGATCATCCTGTGTTGTGAACTCTTCTGGCACGTTCAAGGTGTCTAACGCCAGTGGAACTATAATTAGAGCGTTGAGTTAGTGCCTCCATCTTAGATCGGTAAAGGTGTCCGAACCTAGCATCACAGGTGCAGGTTGAAGACCAAGAGAGGTTGCTGAAGGCGCACGAGCACTTCGTGAAGAGTGAGGCGCAGCATCTCCAGACAATGCGCAACTGAACACTTGTAGTTTCTTCACTAGTTTCTTAAGCGGATGTTTGTCAACTGGAGGTAGCAACAGCATGTAATAACTACCATCTGACAAACATTGATTTAATCCTTGGTTCTTTCCGACTCAATTGAAAGTGCAGGCCGCCTCGCTGTTGGAGCCTGTTGATCGAAACCGAGACTCCCTCATCGAAGAATGGAGGCATTGACTCGGCATTGTCGATTTTTCCCCAGATAGCGAAGCTATTGGGGTTCTTACTTCAAGTATAGGATGAGTTGGATATGTGCGTTTTGGAGCGGGCATGTTGGTGCCGCTGCAGAGTGCTCCTCAGGGTGCTCCTGTTAGAGTGGTGTGTGCGCTTTGGAGCTGGCCTGCTGGCGCCGCTGCAGGCTGCTTCAGGGTGGTGGGGTTCTGCAAGGTGCCGCTGCAGGGTGCTGCTTCAGGGTGCTGCTGTTAGCTGTTAGAGTGTTGTGTGCGCTTTGGAGTTGGCGTGCTGGTGCCGCTGGAGGTCTCCTTCTGCCAGGTGTTGGTTTGCTGTTGCTGCTTTGTCAAGCATTCGTGGATGGAATGGGTCCTGTAGTCCCATGTATGCTGAGAACTTGTATTTCCAGTCTTCGAGTTCTGTTGGCTCCCCTGGTATGGATGCCATTGGCGTGCCTGTTGCCATTGCTGTTGCTGGGGTGTTGCTAAGATTCTTCCAATATTGGCATCAAGACCTCTGTTCCTCTGTTGCGTTGGTTTGTTCTAGCTGCAGTTGCTCTGTGCGTTGTGTTGTGTCACTGTGTTGTTTGGAGCTCTCCTGGATCGGTATCCAGGATCACTGCTCCACTACCATGTGAAGTTCAATGGCAACTAAGATTGTTGGAAAGACTGTTGTCCTGCTGCAAGCTGTTGTTGGCACTCTTTTGTAAGCTGTTGCACGCTTTTTGTTGTAGGCTAGCGGCTAGAGCCACAAGGTCACGTGTTGACCAAGATTGCACATGTTGAAAAACATCAAGTTGAATTCTAACAGAAGAGTTAGTTTGCGTGCTTGAAAAAGTGCTTGGTGTAAAAACATGTTTGTGTAAAAATTGGCTGGTTTAAAAGTTGGTTTGTGTAGAAGCTGGATACCAGACAATACTAGACTATATTATATAAACTAGACTATGCTAGACTATACTGGACCATACTAAACGCATGGGGGTGGGAGGGGTGGAGGGGGGGTACGGCAGCGAAAGCAAAATCCGTGGAAGGAGAAACTAAAACTACAAGATGTATTACAAGAACATCCACAAAACACGCCGGCAGCTGACGGATTTAGTCGCACGCTTATTTCAGGCTTTTCTGCATCAAGGAGAAGTCCATTTACGCCACACTCAATCTCTTTGAGGGCAATATGAATTTGCGTGCAAGCTGTTGGTATCCCGAGGAGGACCGAAACGCACTTTTTTGAAATTATGCCTTGTAATCCTTGTAATTCAACTTTAAATCCTTGTAATGCCGTTTCAAAGAGGAATCAGAGGAATCCGGGAATCCTTCGCCAGGATGAGGATCGAATCCGTGCCATGTGTATCCAGAACAGTTCCTCCCACGGCCATACCAGCGCAATGTTGGTGCCGGACAAGACACCGCCACGAAAATCGCCTCCTACCTACATCAAGGTCAACGAGTTCACAGCCATTTTTCAGGTGGGACAGAAAAACCATGCAAGACCAGTGAAAACATGTTAAGCTCCCAGTGACAACATGTGAACACAGGTGAATGCGAGTCGAGGATTAAAATATGTTTAAATGCCTGATGGCTGGCCAGGTGTTGGTCAATACCTATGGCCTCCCAAGATACCAAGAGGCGAATCCCGCCCTCTTCACAATTGCCACTCTGCATTGGAACAGGAACAGGTGTTGCAGCACTCTTTCAACCTGTCCAAGTGGATTGTTATATAGATTGGTTGCTGCGAAAGAACCGGAAGGTATTGGCTCCTCTGACTTTGACAGTCACTCCCGAGGTCACCTTTCCCTTTCTGTTCGGTGTCATGTACGGCGACGTTGGCCACGGGCTAATGCTGCTCTCTGTGGGAATCTATGCGGAAGCGTGGCTGACACCACTGGCGGGGACATGCCCATGTCAATTGAAAGGCGTTGTTGCCTGCTGAAACGGACCTGGGGCAAACTAAAGGTGTAAGTGCATCTGCGCTTAGTCAAACATACGTAGCATTTCTAGCAAACTTAATGAAGCGGCCACAGGCTGTGTTAGTGTTCGGGGCGTTGAAAGGTAAAAAACGGCAAAGGTGAACGTTTGTTGGACTGTTTGTTGCAGATGCAGCTTTGCCGCCTTTCCACTTTTCATGTCACTTAGGTATGGAAAGCGGATGAGTTGAAGTTCAGCCTGCCAGTGATGCACGAGGGTCGATATATCTTGCCGCGGGGCTGAAGGGACTGCAGGGATTGCAAGGACTGCAGGGACTGTGCAGTGGGAGGTTCTTGTTTGACTGCAGTGAAGCTTGTGTAGCAGCGATGCAGTGCAGGAATTTGCTCATTTTGCAAGTGCAACGTTCTGCTTCACCCAATGCAAAATGCGAGTTTCTTCAAGCAATGCGAGTTTCTTGATAAACACACATAGGTAAATAGGTGCCAGCTTTTGTTGCCACAAAGGCTGATGATGGGACTCTTCGCTGTGCAACTTGGAGTGTGGACTTGGGCTGTTAGATGGAGCAGATGGAGCATGTTGCATCACATTGCAAGGTCGAAGCAGAGGTCTCCAAAGATGAGTTTCCACGTATATCACATGTCCATGCCATTTCCTTTCCTCAGATTTCGTTGGCAAACACATAAAAACATAGTTATCAGTTATCAATCATCCCAGCTAGTTGCATTATGTTGCATTTCTAACCGCTACTAGCTATGCAATATTCGGCCCAGGTACTGTGGCTTCTTATACAACGACTTCTTTTCCATTGGCCTAACCCTCTTCGAGTCCCGGTGGACTCAACCAGCTATTTCTCCAGAGACCAAACCTGGCAGCGTTGTGGCCATGCAGCCCAAATTTGACCATGAAAACCGAGGCATCGAATTCTTTTCTCATTTTTCTGTGTGTCGTGAAGGATTTGCAAGATCAAACTGAGTGCTAATGTCATATGCGTGATGTCTTTGCTGACATGAAACATTGAGTTTTGTTTTCGGGAGGGTCATAGTGATTTGGGAAGTAGATCATTTCAACGCCGGCACGAACAGTCCTTTTGCTAACGTACAGAAATTGGTGTCCGGCGAGTTGAACCTTTGTCATTAAGACTTAGACTAGGCCAAATGTCCATGGTACCAGGTGGGCCTGGACCTTACCCCTTTGGTCTGGATCCTGCTTGGCATGGCGCGCAAAATGAGCTCGTGCACCTTGGAAAGCAAAGCGACTCTTTCTTTGGTGAACACCTGTTGATGATTGCCAATACTTACCCTTGGGTGCACTGGCTATCAGAGATGTGTTGAACCTGTCCAAACATGCTTGCCTCCACTTGCCTTGTAGGTATTTGAACTCGATGAAGATGAAACTGGCGGTGGTGTTGGGAGTTGCCCAGATGCTGGTAGGCCTTCTTTTGCGGTTCACCAACGCAATGTATGAGAAAAACATGGCAGCTTGGTTCTGTGGGGCCGAGGTGACAGGGTGTCCTACCAAGGCAATGCATGCCATGCGATTTAGCTATAGCAGCAATTTCTCACATAAAGATACTGTTGCAAGATACATTTGCAAAACTTGGCTGCTTCACGTCTTCTTCTTAGAGTGTTCAACGGCCCTTGCTCAAGCATTTACTCCCAACTCTCCTGCGCGCTGAGGTAGACTTTGCATGTGAGTGTGTACCAATGTTCATTTTCATGATCTGCTTCTTTGGCTTCATGGATTACATGATCCTCTTCAAGTGGGTGACTCCTATGCGGGAGCCCCCCAGCATCATCAACTCCATGATTGCCACTGGGTGCAGTTACTGAAGCATTTTGTTCAGAGAAACACAATGGAACCGCATGGAACGAAGCTTCATTGCAGAGTCGAATCTGCAATGGCTGAAATTTTTCGATGATAGACTTCTGCTCCTCACCTCTTTAGTGTCCATGCATTTCATCTCTTGACAGCAAGAATAATAAGACTGCAAAGTCCAAAGTTTGGCAATTAGGCAACTATTCTGATTCAGTGCAAAGATGAGAACCACCTCCTTGGATACAGTATTTTCATGGGTTAATAGTATATACGTACTAGTAGCCACCTTTTCAAGTTCCAGTAGCATTTGCCGGTAATCATTGAGGCCTAGAAGTGCTCCTGAAATTGATTCAAATCTTTGAGGCCATGGCTATGTGGAGCGAAGATTCGAATCCCATGTTTGGATCTCTAGTGCCACAAATGCTGATGGTCGTTTGCATGCTGGCAGTGCCATGGATGCTGCTTCTCGGCTGGAAAGCAAGAAGGCAATTTTTTTTTTGTGTGTGTGAAGTGCATTTTGTGGGAAATCCAAACCGCAGATCAAAGATGGTGGATGTACATGGATGTACATGGATGTACGCACTGTAGGGTGGTATTTGTGGGCTCACCTGCTGAGGATTCCGAAACCCTTTATTCTGCACCGGCGAAACCAGGCAGTTTTCCATCGCAAATTTGGTTGGGTCATGTTTTACCGACCAGCGCAAGCCAGTTGAAGCATGGAGCCAGGTGCAATCCCGGCCAACGACGCAGCGCTTCCGTGCCAGCAGTGATGGCCTAGGCAACGAGAGTCAGCGGTTTACGGAAGTACCTCTTTCAACCGATGAAACCACAGCCGCCTTCAGCCCTTGCAGGTGGCCACATGCCTCTGAGTGACGAGGAATCCTTGCTCTGTGAAGAATCTGAGGAAGATGAATTTGATTTGACGGAGGTGGTGATCCATCAGGTGGATGATATGTGTCGGCTGTGTCGGTATGTGCATGTAATGACAGGTTGCGTGCACTACCACCTTGCCAGACTCCAGATTCGGCTGCATATCCAGTCTGGGTATTGAAAAGAGTCTGATTTTCAGGTAGTGAAGGGAACCGACTCAGAGGGATGGCTGGATTTCCAGATGTATCTGAATGTTTTGCAATATCAGACATGATCAGACATGGTGACATGGTTCAACGCATGCTATTTCAATTAACAATGTTTTTGCAGTGGTTTGATGCTGAAAAACGGCTTTGGTTCTGAACCTCAAGGCTCCAAGTTTGTGTTTCTTTCTTCACAGGTCATTGAAACCATTGAATATGTCCTGGGAACAGTGTCCCACACTGCTTCGTACTTGCGTCTATGGGCACTTTCCTTGGCTCATCAGCAACTGTGGCCCAGCCGAACCTGAGTTGCTGTGAATTTGAAGAGGAAAGAGTAGGTTATTGGAATTTACATGTCTTGTCATGTATTTACTATTTGTTGCAGCTGTTTGGAATTTTGGTTTCGCTGACTTCACTGGAAAGAAGTTGAAATCACCAAGGTCATTGGTTTTCTTTGGCATGACCATGCTCGGCGGCATGTCAGCACCATTTCCGTTGAACATTTTCACCACCTACTTTGCCTTTGGTGCTTGGTTTGGTGTCACAGTCGCGATCTTGTTGGGCATGGACGTCATGGAGTGTTTTCTGCACACTTTGCGACTTCACTGGGTGGAACCTTGGCAGAGGTTGGCATCATGTTGGTTTCCCTGCGAAATGAAAGGAACTCACTGCACAAGCGTCCGAAAGCCTTTACATGACCCAAGAGCGGCATTTTTGAGGGTGATCAAGTGTGGTCTGTGACATGAGGCCGTTATGAGACTTATTGCAAGTCCATTATTATTTTGTCATCATTCTGTGGTTTTTCACTCACTGCAAATCCTTGAGTGTGTAGGGTTGCTGTTTCCTCAGGAATTCCAAAGCAAGTTCTACAAAGCTGATGGCTATGCTTTCGAACCCTTTTGCCACAGAGATGTCCTCCACAAGAAAACAGATGAGTGATGCTATGGAAACGCCGCAAGCTAATGGCAATGTCTTGATTATTTCGATGCTTCTAGAGCTGTGGTGTGCAAATGAAAGGATGCCGTGCAAAGTTAAATTGCCCAGTATCCACCAGCAAATGAAAGACAGCTTGTGTAGATCGCTTTGAATCAAATGCGCTTGTTGTTGGTTGCTGCAGGCATGCATGGTGTTGCTAAGACGGTTAGAGGCAAGCACTGATACTAGCCAGCGAGTAAATCTCCTGGCGCTTTTGCACTTCCCAGCTTCACTCATCACGACTGTCAGGGGTAACACATCCTTGGCAATTCTCAAATATTCACGTTTCATTTCACTCAAGGTCCAGACATGTGAGCTTTCAGTGCAAGAGATTTGGCCGGCTGACAATAAACAATGTAGTGACGTCCAAATTCCCAGCAATTCCTGGGACAAGAAACCTCTGAAAGTGACACGTTTGGTTCACCACTTTGGCGGCTCCTGCTTGTACAGACCACCAACACGGGGCCGCTGAGATCCGCTGAGCGGCGGCACAGAACCTGGTACTTCCATAGAAAAGCGAAGCACTTTCCTATCTAGAATCTAGTATGAGGGAACCTGGTTATGGCGGTTATGGATGGAGCGGTTTGGACCTATAGCTATGGGTATCCATACTCCATCATATTCCCACTTCAGATTCTTAAATGGGAGCAAAGGCACGGCTAAGAGTATCCCAACTACATGATAGATATCAAAGATAGTTGACATATATTGAAGTATGTAATTTCTTGTAGACTTGTAGTCTCAGTTGGACAATGCCCCCAAAGGATCAATATCTCTGAAATGGTTTTAGTTGCATTGACGTCCTTCATCACTTTGGCTCGAAGCTGCAGATGATAACGTTTCAGATTGTCGGCAAACCATTCCTGGCGAAGTCCTTTGTTTTAGTTCATGGCAAACTACTCAAATCCAAGAACTAAATATCTACTTCAAAGATTCGGAGCAAAAAGAATCGGCTTAGCCACGTCGTTCTTTGACACGATCTTTCCAGCCCTTGTCACTCCTTTGTTGGGTAACTTGACCAACATGGAGCCATTCAGGCCGGTCAAGTGGAATTGTGTCAAGCATGGAAGTCTGAAATTGATCTTTGAGCAATCCCGATGCCGTTTCTGCCAGGGCGTTTTTGCTTTGCATTGGCTGCTTGGTGTCAGCAGCAGAGGTGGGCTGCAACTGAAACGGCAGTTTAAACAGCAGCTTTGGATCAGTGTCCTTGAGGAGCTGCGAGAGCCGCAGCTCCTGCAAGATGTCAACCACAGCGAGGGCCTTGGCAGATTTGCTGGACCAAGTCATGGTCTACATGGACGTACGGCATTAAATGTAAAGTAGACAAGGTAAACTGTTTAATATTGTTAAGAGACGAAGGCTAGTTTTATATTTTGGCCGTTGTTTCAGGTCCAGTTGCGTCTGAGCAGTGTCAAAATGAACGAAGCAGCATTTAACGAAGGTTTTGTGGACGGGCGTACGGTTTAATGAGGGCGCGGTTAGTGTTCTGGAGGGCTGGAGGGCGCCAATTGTGGCTGACTGATCCTTTTCTTGGGTGGGAGATGTCATTGCATTTGCTTTGACATGTTAGGCTTCCAGTGTTTGCTTGGGATGGGGTGGGATGCTATTCATGGTTACCCGAACTTGCGGTGCACTTCTGATATGCGGGGCATAGATAACATGGTGCGGAAGAAACCAGGATCGCAGCCAAAACACAAATGTCCAGGTGAAATGCAGCAATACTATCCTCAGTGTGAGATTTGCCCATGAGTTCAGCAGATTCCATGTTGCCTTGAAGCTGTGCCCTTTGATTCTTTTGACTGCAAGGCCTGCCGGCGCAAGCGACAGTGGCACGACAGTCATGTCCCGCCAAGATCAGCCATCGGTCTGCATGGCAAGGATGACACGCACAAAACAGACTGAACATGAACAAACTAACGTATGTTTCATTTTGCATGCACCTTTCAAACCTCGTTGCAAGCGTGAAAAGGGAGTTCTGCTACCAGCTGCGCGCTCGCACTGGTAACGGAGCCAGTGTGCTCCCGCACCATGGTTTCAACTGCTGGCGCTTTCTGGAAAGATGATGAAATTGTGGTGGACAGAGATGGCATCCCCCATTTTTTCTGCGTGAAGCCGGAGCTCATGCGAGAGTATCGCAAGCGTGTGCTCTTTGCATATTCATCGCTGGAAGGTGACGGCGGCACAGAGGAGAAGGAACGCGAGATCTAGCAAAGAAGCAGAATGGGTTCGCCAAGAAACTTCTGCATGGATTGCACGGTGAAGCTTGGTGATGCTGCCAAGACGTACGGACTCAGATGGACAAACTGGCTGAGGTGCAAGGATACAAGCATGTGTTCGCAGCCCTGCAGTCCATTGAGCAGGTTTCAGCAGTGAAGAAGACCGAGCAGTTTGATCGTTTCTTTGAGTGGAAGAGAGGGCAGCCCCTGGATGTTTACATCAGGACCCGGCGACAAGATTGGGCCGATTTGCAAGATCTGGATGAGGGCACAAAGATGAGTGACGACCTCCTGGCGTATTTCTTCCTGAAGCATAGCGGTTTGTCGAAGGAAGACAGGCCAGATCCTACTGGACAGTGGCGCATCCTACGATTTGGACTCCATTGAGAAGGCCATGCGAGTTTCTTACCATGATGTGCATGAGCGTGAGAAACAAGTCCGTCCAGATGAGCGCAGGTTCAAAGGAGGTGGAGAAGGTTGCAAACACTATGCCCACATGACTGAAGAGAATGAGATTTCTGAGGATGGAGACCAGTTTGAAGATGCGGCAGACTCTGCGTATGACCAGGCCTGAAGCGGCGAAGCTTCAGAGTATGACCCGGCTCTTGAGTATGGGTACGATGCAGAAGCTGGCAATGCAGAGGTGGCATCAGATGCTGGAGCGTCCAATGACATCTTTCAAGCCTTCAGTGCGATGGACAAGCCGAGGAAGACATACAAGGAGGCCAGAAAGAAGCGCAGAGAAGTTCAGAAACAGCGAGGCTTCTTTTGTGGAGAGCTCACCTTGGAGCAGAGGAAGACAGCCATTGCCAAAGAGAAAGAGCGCAGTCGATGCTCAACTTGCAATCGCATCGGTCATTGGTCTGGCGACCCTGAGTGTCCCAAGTCAGGGAAATCTGGCCCAAAGAGATCCAAGGGACGTGGCAAGAACAACTACAAGAAGAAGCCGCCTGGTAAGGCGTACTTTGCAGCAGCTACTCCTTTGTATTTCACCTTGGATGATGATGTCGGTGATGGAGTCACCGACGCTGCCTACATGAACTACGTCTCCAAAGACCCTGAGAGTCAGAGCCAGATGGACCAAGATGAGGGCTACACTGGGTTGGATCATCGTCGCAAGACGAGATCTGCGGCACCAGCCTCACTATCTCTTTGATGGCTGCAGCGAGACGCCATGGTCCGTTGTGAAGGCAGATGGCACCCCTGAGACTGCGCAAGAGTCCAAAGATCGAGACCACCATGAAGTGCGTCAGCAGCTTCAGATGGCCGTGCGAGTTGAGAAGTCCGAAGTCAAGGTGATCCCAGTCAAGAGCCTCAAAGATCTGCGTCCTGACCTTTCAGTCATGACAGTTCGCAGGATGCAGAATGAGTGTGAGCGATGGGGCATCCGAGTGTCAGGTACTCGCCAAGAGCTTCAAGATAGGCTGCTTTCCTTGTTTCAAGGTCACCCAACTGCGCAGAAAGGATGCACCAAGCAGTTTGTTATGTTGCAAGAGGGTTCAGTTGCGGGCAGAGATCGCCCGATCTTTGAGGAGCCAAGTTCAGCTTCGGCCAGTAAAGAATCTGGACCGAAGGGCAAGAAGGTTCAGCCGGAACCCATGCAAGCATCGCGCGTCAAATGTGAATGATGAGCCATCTTCTTCCACGCCAGCAACCAATGAGGATGGCCGTTTCTTTTGAAGTTCCGCACGAAACCGCGGACAGATTGTCCTTCAAGACATGGAAGTTCGCCGACATGTGGCTCCTGCTTCCCCAACTCCTAAGTCCATGGCCTATGCATCGAGCGATGAGCAGACGGTCAGCAAGACCCGTTTGCCAAATGAGATTGGCCAAGTTCTTCCTGGTGTTCCTTGCAAACATTGCCAACATGACATGGTGCTGCGCCAGAACCGCATCAATGGCAACCAGTTCTTTGGATGCAGCACTTTTTTGGCCGATCTACTTGCAGGTTCACCATCGATTTCCACTAGCGCTAAGACTTTCCACTTTGCAGATGGTTCCAGCACACTCAGGCCACCGTGTGGAGGATTCGGACGTAGAGGAGAAGTTCTTTCTGCGGAAGTTGTGACAGGTTCCACACGTTTGCTCCTGTCAGTCACCTCCATGGAACCTTTGCAAATGGACAAGACGCGCTCACATAGGTGCCTTGGGGGTGGACGTTGAGATCCTGCAGACCATAACCAAGCATAGAGCAATAGATCTCACGAAGTCAGAAGGTTTTCAAATACACGACATGCCACCAATAGAAGCTGGTCAGGGCCCGACTTTCAGATCTGCAAATGATGACTTATTCATTTACCTGGTAGAAGAGGCCGCCTTTAGCCTCAGTGAGGCTGTTCCACCTGAGGCAGACATGAAGGAGGTCGAAGTGAAGCTGAAGCATGAGACAGCTTTGAAACTCGGAAGCCGAGGTGTTCACCCTACCGATGTTAGAGGCGACATGAGCTTGAGGAGGAAGAAGGAATTGGAGATGGCCTTAGGAAGGGTTCAAGTGGCAGACAAGCGCACTTGGATCGCTCTGCGCGGAACTTACACTTTTGCAGAGCAAGCAGCAACAGATCAGTTCACCAAAACAGTCGTCTTTGAGCCTTGGGGTGGAAATTTTGGTGCTACGGGATGGACTAACTCTCAACCCTTGGACATCTTAGACGGATATGTTATGGGCAGCTCTGGATCAGCACGATCCTTATCTGACCTTGATGGCTTTTGACTGCAGGATTAGGGGTTTGCTCAACAACTTTTGTCAGTCAGCGAGACTGATTGTCAGAGGTCTGCAAGCATCGCCACAGAAGGCGCAGATACTACCTGATTGAGAACCCACTGAGTGGTCCAGCATGGAATT